TTCCCATGTTATTATTGTGTCTGGAGTTGCCCTACAATTGTGCCATCATGTGACCGTGCTTTAATCCTTCTAGAGCCCCAACGTTTTGAACATGCCAACAATCATGTGATCGTACTTTGATTTGCATGACTTCCTCTGTTTGAGCAAATGACCACCATTCCTATTTCTCGGATGGTGGTAGTAGTGGCCCCAAACATGCAATCGTGCCGTTCTTGATTTTCCTAGAACCTCCATATTTTTAGGAACTCCAATTTTCCCACGTTTAATAAACACGTTCCTTTAACCAAACGTGGCTTCAATTTAATTCAACTACCAATCTTCTTTATGGGCTTCTTTGAGTCAAACTTTATTTCACAAGCTTTCATAAAATTAAAGTATTTTAATATATCCAAACCACTTCTAACTGGATTTTACTGAGACCATTCCTTGAGCAAAACTCTCACCCATCATAAAACCGACTTGACCCAAATTCTTCCACGTGTGTATTTTCCATTGATTGAAAATAAGGGTGTAAACATTGCCCCCCTAAATTCTTTGCCTTTGATTGCGCAAAAAAGGCATGGAATTTAAATAGATCACTTACTTCTTTTGGCAGACGAATTGCCGGACCCACCAAATCTTTCCTTTAAAAGAAATTGATTCCTTTTGCTTTGGAGAAAACAAACTGAACCGTCCCTTAGGAAAATCAAATATTTTGAATCGGCATGCTATCCCTATCATTAAATGGACCCACCCAATCCATTTTTGAAAAGAAACTAACCCCTTATAAATTGGAAAGGCAACCTACCTGTCGTCCAATCTTAAACCAACTTTCCAGGCATTATAAATGAGAAGACCTACCAAATCTTTCTTCATTAACAAAAATAATAATTACTAGGTCTTGAAAAGGCAAGCTAGTCGCTTCTTGTACCTATCCAATTAAAGACTCCATAACTATTCGCCTTCTTCAGCCGTTTAGATCTCCTCAGGATGACTCATCTTTAAATCTCTTGAACAACCCTTATATCTCTCTTATGTATCCATCCCAACTATAAATACATATGTAGTTTCCTTTCATAGTCAGAACAAACTCTTTCTCTCAACTTCAAATTGAGCGAACAAACCCTAGATATTTTTGTGATGGCTCCAAAACAAAAACGGCTAACCAGGTCCACTACAAGTTCAACCATGCTTGCTCCCTCTTCTGATCAAACCAAAACACACAGCCATAGCCACCAAGTCCAAAAATCCTTAAGTTAGTACCTGAATTAGAGATTACCTTCGATTCTTTCCATCCTATTGGCCCCTTAAATGGACTAGGGCCTTTTCTCTTGAATGAATTTCCTCTATCTTTATCCGAGTTTTACCCTATGGCAGAGGATGATCTTCCATTCAATTGGGAGTACCCGTTGATCATTGTCAGAGGAAAAAGTAAAAGCCCACTCTTTCTCTCAAGAACTGGCCAAGATGTCGTCCATTATGGAAGTCATGGGTCAATCGCTTATCTGGTGATGACAAGATTGCCTCCACTTAGAAAAGGCAAGGCATTTTCGATGCCATACAATTGAGCAAGGTATCAATGATTCAGGACAAGAACCTATTTTTCCCTGCTGTCTTCTTCTGGTCTAATGTGACCAACTCTTTACATCTCCGGAATGGAATGATGTCTGTCACAATGAGGGACATTTGCTGTATAACTGGTTTAAAGCCTCATGGAGACTATATCAGTGCCTTTCTACATGTAGGATCTTTCAGTTTTCCCTCCTCTGACGACGAAAACAAGAAATTCTATTCTTCTCCTGTACCTTTCATGGAATTCCACAACAAAAAGACTGGGCCCGTTGCATTGAAAGAGCTTACTGCCTTCTTGATTTGCTGGCTTTCTGGACACCTATTATGTGTTCCCTCTGGACAAGTCACCAAGGATTTTGTCCAGATTGCTGTTGCTCTTGCCAAAGGTGCAGACTTGGCCCTTGCTTCTCTGGTTCTTTCTCACTTGTACCGAGGTATGAATGATCTCCTAGAGTTTAATTTCACTCGTTTTGGCAATCCATTCTGGATTTTCTAGGTGTCGCTAAAAATATATTTTCCAAGCTTGACCACTCCTATTTCTGTTCAGCCTGAAAAACCTTTGCTAACTTATAGCTTTGTTGAAAGCAGGCCCACCCGTTTCTCTTTTACTGAAGTATTTCGTTTCTTTTATGACCACAATGACTTCAAACCAAACTCATCTTTAGATCCCTTTTTCCAATTATGGACTGATGCCTTCCTGGCTTGTACCCTCCCCCGGAGTTTCAACCAAAAAGTCTTCTGACGATTGGAAGAAAATTTGGACAAGCTTTTTAATCTGCCGTGATTTACACTATGGAACCTCCACTCCTGCTTCAAAGAATAGTCATTGTGGGGTTGAGTATTACAATCCAGCTCAGTTGGCTAGACAATTTGGCTTAACATAACTCATTCCTTTGCCCCCTTTTGAATCGGTCAATAGACTTTTTAATGCAAGAGTCAGGTTTACCGATAATGAGCAATTCCAGGAAGTGGATGAAAAGTATGCCTTGAAGAAAAACTCTTTTGAATTCGAAGGTTTTAATAGTTGCCCAGAAGTAACCCAAGACTTCATCGATTGGTGGACTGCTTATGTTAACTCAACCAGAAAATCAGCTTATGTGGAAGTTTGCAATAGGCTTTTGAATTTCTTTAAGCCTACCACACCGAGCTATAAAGAAACATTCTCTAATGGTAAGCTTTCATACTTTGAATTTTCCCACACTAGTCACATATAATCTGTTAATAAAAATCTCCGTTCTTTTGACAGACAATGATGATGATGATGCCGATGGAAAGGATAAGAATCCTACCGGCAAGAAAGGAAAAATTGAATTGCCTACAGAGGTTGAAGGTATTGAAGGAGGTGGGGATAGTAATCCAGAAGGCTCTGGGGTTGACAAGCCTCTAGGTAGTGACAAAGATGTGGCCCTTATGAAAGTTAAGAAAGAGAAATTTCAAGAAGATGAGCTCTATAAAACAAAAGGGAAAAAGAAAGCTGCTTCTTCTTCTCAGGTATCATCAATACCTTCTAGTTGGTATGACTTCCTTTTTAATCCTTTTCTTAATAACCTCTAGTATACTTTTCCATTTGACAGACTCTAGCCATTGCCAAGAAAAAGTACATACCTCCTGTCACTTTGTCAAGTGATGATGACTCCTTTACCGCCTCTGAAAAGAGTACCTCAAAAAAGATCTCTTCAGTAAAAACTTCTACCAAGTCAATGAAACATGCAAGTCCACTTGACCGAGATCATCCCCTGAAAAGTAAGAGGAAACTCATTGTGGACCCTGAACCGGATGAAGAATCTGACTTCTTTCAACTAACTCCATAAACAAAGAAAACCAAGAAAGAAATCAACTTGGTGAGTTAGTCATTACTGCCCTTTCTTTAACTTGGTCTTGACTAACCATTATTCCACAGGCCATAATCTGTTAAACATTGCATTGGAAAGTGTTCCATTAGAAGAGCAAGACTTGGATCTTCAAAAGTCCATTGCTGCAAGTTTAATTCCTCCAATCAGTTTAGATAACACTATCATGCCTGCTTCCATTGATCCAATTACGATTATCCCTCCTTTGAAAGTTTCAGCTGGACCTACTCCTTCCCTTCCAGAGGTAATCCCTTTCCTCTTAAATTTCAATAACATTTCTTAAATTGAAGCTAAACTATTTTCTTTCTATGACTTAGACAACTCATTCAATGTCTAACTCTACCTCCTTCATAGTAAAGAGAAGGGCACTCCTAGCTTTGGATGACTTGTATAAAGTAGCTAAGGCCTCGAAATCCTCAAGCACTTCCACCTCTAATGCTAGTATTCCTGTTGCTCCTTGTCCAACTGGAGAGGCCTTGAGAGTTGCCAAAGATCAGTTGTTCCAATACCTTGAGAAGAATGTCAAAGAGATTCCTTCATTTCAACAAAACTTGATCACTGTCTTGTCTACATTGAAGAAAAATCCAGACCTTTCTCCAGAAATTTAACTCTCTTTAGGCCAATTGCAACACCAGCTACCTTTCATGGCGACAAATATCAATTCTTTTGCAACTGCCACTGGTGAACTCAATCAGGAAATTCAATTGAAGGATAAGGCTTCTGAAGATCTCAATAACAGCCTCCTTCCTTATCCAGAGATTAAAACCAAGTTTAAGCAAATGACTGATAAAAAAGAGAGTTTTACTGCGGAGATGGAAAAAATTCAAAAGGAATTGGAGAGACTTAAGACTGAAGAGGCTGAATTGGAACAGATTGCTCAAGCAATCTTTGCTGAATCAAGCAAGTATAGGAAAAGCTGGGAGGATCTTGCCGACGAAATTCCTTTTCTAGAAGAAGTGAAAAACAAAGCTGAGGAAGAAGCAGGTCAATCCAAACTTCTTTGGGAAAGCTTCGAAGGCAAGTTTGCCTCTTTATGATGATGTGGTTCTTTGTTGGCTTCTTGGACACTTTCTTTTAATGTAATAATCGTAGGTGTTTTAGGTCTAGACACCTTTCTTTTGAATGGCATGTAATGGAACTTTCTCATATATTGAAATGCCACTTTTAGTTTCATCCTATTTCTTCGTGCTTTCACACCACACTTTATTTAATTGAAATGGAATGCATAAGAGATAAAAGGCAAGATTGAAAATAACTTAAGAACCATGAGTTGATTCTAAATGAAAATATGAAAATAGCCAAAATACCTCTTGCCGGAAATACTTGGTTGTTTTATTCATTGGAAAATCCTATGAAAATTCAAAATTGCCAAGGCCAGTGAAACGGCAATTAGAAAAATTTCAGGCTTTTCCATAGGAAAATCCTATTTCCCTTCCAAATGCCAATTCTCTTTTGGAAGGCTTGACCAACCATTCATTTGGCTGGTCTTAGTATCCTTTTCTCCCAGGCTTCAAAGAATGAGGGGTGATACTGTTCCAAGTATACCCCATTGATGGGAGATAAATAAGGCTCGCCATCTATATCCATCAACTGATAAGCTCATTTTCCTAGAATCCTTTCAACTAAGAAAGGTCCTTCCCATTTTGGAGTCCATTTGCCAAACTCTCTATGTTTAGTCCCAAGTGGCAATTTGACTTTCCAAACCATGTCTCCTTCTAGGAAAGACTTAGCCTTTACCTTTTTGTTGTAAGCTCGCATCACCTTCTCCTTCTGTTTAATAACATGGTCTAAAGCACTTAACCGAACTTCATCAAGGTCTTTTAGCTCTGCTAGCATGGCTTGAGTATATTCAGCTGGAGTCAACTCATTTTGGAAAGCTACTCTTGTTGATTTCACTGTCATTTCCATTGGAAGTACTGCATCGTGTCCATACGTTAACATATAAGGAATAACTCCAGTACTTGTTCTTTTTGAATTCCTATAAGCCCATAGTGCTTCTGACAAAAGATTATGCCACTGCCGTGGATACTTCTCAATCATCTTCTCAATTATGCCAATGATGACCTTGTTAGATGCCTCTGCTTGTCCATTTGCTTGAGCAAAGTATAGAGTAAAGCTTGTGAACTGGATATTATATATGTCGGATAGATCTTGCACCATACTTCCTAGAAAGGAAAAACTTCTATCTGTGGTGATGGTCTTCGGAATTCTAAACCGATGGATGATATGCTTCTCAATGAAATCCATCACTGTTGATTGTACACAAGATTTCAAAGGAATGGCTTCCACCCATTTCGTGAAATAGTCTGTGGCCACTACTATATAAGTATGGTCATCAGTAGAAGGAGGTGTGATTTTCCCAATGAAATCTAATGCCCAACCTCTAAATAGCCATATCTTCACCACAAGCTGTATGTCGATGGCTGACACTCTTTGAATAGGACCATACTTTTGACAAGCTTGACAACTTTTGGCAAAGTCATTACAGTATTTTAAAATGCCTCTCTAATGATATCCATACCTTCTTAGTAGCCATCTCATCTTTGTTCCAGCTTGATGGGCTCCACATAGCCCGTTATGAACTTCCCCCATGGCTTGAATTGATTCCAATTTGTCCAAACACCTGAGGAGAAGACCATTTTCTTTGCTTTTCTTGTACAATTCTCCATCCATTAGAATGTAATGAGGAGCTACAAGCTGAATTTTCTTATTCACATTTGTACTTGGATTCATCAGGAACTTAATGATGGGAATTCTCCAATCATCTGGATCTGCCTCCTCCAAGTCAACATAATTAACTTCTAAATGTTCATTCCTCATTTCTATAGATGGAAGTGGTCTTCTTTTTATTGATATTATGGTTTCTTCTACTCTAGGTGGAACTCTTATACTGGATGCTACCTGGGCCAGTCTGTCTGCCTCTTTATTCAGGTGTTTTGGCCAATGCTGTAACTGATAATCATCAAATTGATCTATTAATTGTAAGGCCAAGAAATGGAAAGGCCTCAGATGATGACTAAGGCATCTGTATTCATCAGCCAATTGGTTGATCACGAGCTTGGAATCTCTAATGATGAGTACACTTCTGGCTTTCATTTCTAGTAGAATTTCCAAACCAATTATGAGTGACTCATACTCAGCTTGGTTATTAGTACATAAATAATCCAAAAAGAAAGAAAATGATGTCTTCCTTTTCCTTAGAGAAATTATAACAATTTTAGCTCCTCCTCCATCGCTAATACATAAACCATCAAAGAGTAATGTCCATGAAGAATGTTCGAGGTAGAGACTATCCACCTCGTCACACACTTCTGTTGCTATTTCAGTAGAAGGATGATCAGCCAGAAATTCTGCTAGACCACGTCCCTTGACTGCTTTCTGTGGAATGTACTTAAAACTAAACTCCATTAAGGCCAATGACCATTTTCCAATCCTTCTAGTAATCAAAGGCCTCAATAACATGTACTTAATCAAATCAATTTGAGAAACAATGTACATAACAACCGGAAGCATGTATATTCTTAATTTCATCGCAGAATAATACAAAGCAAGACATAACTTTTCAATTGGAGTGTACCTACATTCCACTGGAGTGAGTAATCGACTAAGAAAGTAGATTGCCTGTTCTTTTCCCCACTCATTATTTTGTGCCAATAGAGTCCCAATGGACTCCTCAGCGGCCGATAAGTATAACCTTAAAGGCTGCTTCTTTATTGGTGGCATCATTACAGGTGGATTGACCAGGTATCTTTTAAGTTCTTCGAAAGCTTCTTGATGCTGGTTAGCCCACTGGAAATCTTCTGTTTCTTTCAACTTCAGAATAGATGAAAAAACATGGGTTTTTCCAGCATGGTTGGAAATGAATCTGCGAAGAAAACCTACTTGCCCCAGGAACCTCTGAAGCTCATTCTTGCTCTGAGGAGGTTGTGCTTCCATAATGGCCTTAGCTTTGTTCTTGTCAATCTCTATTCCTCTCTGGTGAACCAGAAAGCCTAAGAAATTTCCAGCTGAAACTCCAAAAGCGCATTTCAACGGATTCATCTTCAACTTGTGCATCCTCATCCTTTTGAAGGCCATCTCTAAGTTGATCAAGTGTTGAGGATTTTTTGATGACTTGATGATTACGTCATCAATATAAACCTCCATAAACCTACTAATTATATCATGGAAAATCGCATTCATCGCCCTTTGGTAGGTAGCTCCTGCATTCTGAAGGCTAAACAGCATAACCACCCACTCAAATGTCCCAATAGAGCCTGGACATCTGAATGCCGTTTTTGAAATATCTTCTTCAGCAATATAAATCTGATTGTAACTGGAATGGCCATCCATGAATGATAGAATTCCATTCTTTGCCGCTGCATCCACCAATTGGTCTGCTATGGGCATCGGATACTCATCTTTTGGAGTTACAAAGTTAATATTTCGAAAATTTATGCATACTCTTAGCTTGCCATTCTTCTTGATGACTGGCACTATATTTGAAAGCCATTCCACATACCTGGTAGTTTTGATGAAGCCTGCCTTCAAAAGCCTTTCAATTTCTTCTTTGACTTTCAGAATAACTTCCTATGACATCCTTCTAGGAGGTTGTTTGAAAGGCCGGTACCCTTCTTTAATTGGTAGCTTATGCTCTACCAATTTTCTAGAAAGACCAGGCAACTCATTATATGTCCAAGCAAAGCAATCTTTAAATTCTTTCAAGAGAGAAATCAATTCTTCTTGAAAATTAGGTTCCAACAACCCACTTATATAAGTTGGCCGTGGATCCTGCTCTGTCCTCAAATTAATTTCTAGCAGCGGATCCTGAACCTCAGCCTTTAAATCATCAAGCTTTGCTGGAGTAGACTTCAAGTCTGCTAGTTGAATTGCATCCAGTTTCCCTTCTAGATCTTCTGTGGTTTCTACCAAGTTACTGGAAAATACCTTGGCATATCTTCTACTTCGTTCCAGCCGTAATTTGGCTAAATACGTTTTTAACCTTGCTAGGCAACAATTCACAGCCTGGCTTCTTGCCCTCTCTTTCTTGTGAACCTCTTCCATTAAAACTATTCAAAGTGCAAGGCGTTGGATGTCAGCCTGTGAGAGGATTGCTGGCCTTGACATCTCCTGGAACAACTCCTTAGCCTCTTCTTCCGTAAGAGTTTTCCGCATTATTGCCGACTTAGGTCGGCCCTTACTATCTTTTCCAATGAACCTTACTGGCACGGAACTCTCCATTGTAAAGCTCAGCATCTGCATGATACACTCTAGCAATGAATGGTTTATTATCCGCCTCTACAATCTTAACTTCGTCACCATCCCAAAAAATTAGCATTTAATGCAACGTGGAATGCAAAAATTGGGATGTATCCATTCGCGGCCTAATAATAAATTATAGGCCGCTGTGGATTCCACAATAAAAAATGCTGTCATGGTTGTAACATCCCCAACAGTCAATTCCAATGGAAGAATCCCCTATGTTTCCACTGAACCTCCAGTAAAATCGCTAATAGCCACATCACTAGGAATTACATCCTCTGTCGTCTTGCCCAAATTCCTCTTAACATTAATGGGAACAATATTCAGGATTGAACCGTTGTCTACCAAGGCTCTTGAAAGTGGACGACCCTCAATTAATACCTTTATGTAAAGTGGCTTCAACTGCTGAATCACTCCAACAGGGGGTTTTTCCAAAACTACTTTTTTTGGAGTTGGAAGTACATCATCTTGAATTTTAATTTCACAAGGCTCTTGGAAAGCCTCGGCTTCTTCTTCTGGAAATTCCTCTATAATTTCTTCTATGTGTATGCCATCAATCCTTTTCTCTGGAACTAAATCTAATTCAACAACTTCTGTTTCCTCTGTACTTGACCCATCGTCAGCAACATCACCTATCATTGAAGATGGCTGATTTGGTTTGGATTTGAAAACCAATGGAAGGATAACAACCATATTACATGACATTTCCTCTGGAAAGCTCCCAAAACGGATTTTCTTTAAATTGGATGAGTTCTCAAAACTCTCCAATTCTCTTATTGGGATTTCTTCCTCCGCCTTATCCTTCTCCACAAGTGACTTTTCTAGCTCAGAAGTAAAGTCTTCTAAACAGTCTGGGACTCTATCTCTTCCCTTTGCCAATTTTTCAGTCAGGTCTGTAGGTTTTCTTACTTCAGTTGTTGTTTTCCAACCATGATCCTCCTCCCATAGCTTTCTTCCCTCGGCTCTTTTCCTTTGGAAACGGCGCTTCTGTGTTGGCGAATAAGCTGCATCCTTGTATTTAGGAAACTTAGGATGGTCCACCCTCTTCCATCTTTCTGAATAAGGGATCGGGGGCTTGACCATCCTTTGATTGAAAGTCTTAGTTTCTCTCTTTACCCAGACCTCTGAAGCGACTCTGGGCTTTCCATGAGAAATATTAACGAACTCTTCATTTTTCCTGATAGGCCTTTCCACCCTTCCTTCATGAAATCCGGAATCTCTTCTTCTTGGTGGAAGAATACTTCTTTTCTCACAAGCCCTTGCTTCCAGGCTTCTTGGCCGTAACCTAGAATTTTCTGCATATTCAGGCCTTTTCTGATTGAAAGACCTTCTGTTAATATGCCGCTCTTTAGCTGGAATGGTTACAATAACCGATTCTATTGGTGGTCGGAAAGTTAGTCTGTCATGAACCTTTCTTTTCTGGCCACGTTCCTCACTTGATGTCTGCTCCTCTTTGTTCTTACCCACCAATTTATGGACCTTGCACTGAGGGCAACACCCTTGCTGGATGAGGGTAATTTAAGCTTCTCGGAGCTGCCTTTCCAGTTCTGCCATAGTTTTTTCCAATGGAATTAACTCTGGCTCGGCAACTGCCTTCCCTTTAGCCTTTCCTTTATCCAAGTTCACCTTCTTTCTAGGATGGTCAGCAGCGATACTAATTACATTGGTGTTGACCACGGTTGGAAAAGGATTTCCATCCACTCCCATTGCATCACTTTTCTCTGGAAACTTCATCTTCCCTTCCTCGATTGCTTTCTGCACAATATTACGAAAATTAACACAGTTATTAGTTGAATGTCTCAAAGAATTGTGATACTTACAATATTCTTTTCCAAGTAAATCGTTAGAAGTTGGGAGTTTATGCCCAGGAGTTAGGATTAGCTGTTTATCAGCCATCAGCAAGTCGAATATTTGCTCAACTTTGGTAATGTCAAAGGAATATCCTTTTGGTGGAATCAGGTATCCCTTTCTTATTTGAAGTGGAAGTGGCTTGGGCATTAGTAGTTGCTACAACTTTTGACTTCATAAGTGCTTCATATATATATGGCTTTTTGATGTTTAATTTTGCCATATGAACCTTAAAATCACTATCAAGGTCAGCGGCAAAGACTTCATAATTTGGGTCGCGATAATAAGTTCCTTTTGAGGAAGCTTTCCTATCCTTTTCCTCATGAAGTAAACCTCCATACTTGGCAACTCTACTCGCCAAATCAAAGAGATCACGGAATTCTATCCCTTTGAATTTCTTGCGCAATTCAAAGTCTAGACCATTGATAGCCATTTTGACATACTCGAGTTCGGGAAGATCTACATGGCACTTATGCTTTGCCTTTCTGAATCTAGATAAGAAAGCTTCTACGGACTCTCCTGGCAATTGGTTAAGCCTAGAAAGATCAACCATGGAAACTTCTGGCTCAGTTCGATAGAAATGTGTATGGAACATCTCTTCAAACTGATGCCAACTATTAATGGAATTTGCAGGCAAGTTTGTGTACCATCTGAAGGCATACCCGGTCAAAGTATTAGGAAACAATTGTACTTTCAACCATTGATTGCCTCCTGCTTCACCACATTGAACCGTAAATTGACTTATGTGTTCCACGGTGGATTGGTTGCCTTCGCCACTGAAAGTGGCAAATTCAGGAATTCAGAAATTCCTAGGATATTCAATATTATCTACGAACTCAGGGTAGGGTTTCCTATAAACAGGTCTCCCATCCCTTCTAGTCAAACCAAATTCTTGTTGAAAAAATTCAGTAAGTTGGCATTTGTCCAATCCCTGCAACAAAACTGGTGGTTAGCAATTCTCCGGTCATCCTTGTGGTTGGTTGGCCACGGGCTGCCCCCCAAACATCACTGGAGGTGTGTTTGGGTCTGGGTTGTTCCTCCAGTGACCTCTGTTGCCTCCTTGATTAGGAGGCTCCCTTGGTATGTTCTGCCCCCTACATACTACAGGAAAAACCCGGGGTGGTCTTTGAGGAATGGTAGGAGGTGGGTGAACATACTGCTGGCCAACATTTGGCAGAAAATATGATTGACTTCCCAATTGACCCGTTTGAGCTGCACCCAGAGGAGACCCAAATTGATGCGAATTATTAGAAAAAACTTCAGGACTTACCTGTTGAGGTAAAGTCACAGGAGCTGAATTCTGAACTTGCTGGGTCACAGGAATGGTTCTCGTTTGTGTAGGTGGAATTTGCGTTGTCTGTGCCTGTGACAAAGAATGCACAGGTTGGTGAGAAAGACTTCTTTCAAGAAAAGTACTTGGCCTGTTCACTGGAACGGCCGATTGTTGAGAATCTTCCGAATTACTTGGCTTGTTGGCCATGCTTTGAGAAAGATTAGCTAAGCTTTGAGGGACGCCGGCCATACTTTTAGAAAGACTGACCATGCTTTGATTAATACCGGCTATACTTTGAGAAAGATTGGCCATGCTTTGAGGAAAACCGGCCATGCTCTGAGTCAGATTAGTCATGCTTTGAGGAAGACCGGCCATGCTCTGAGTCAGATTAGTCATGCTTTGAGGAAGACCAGCAAGAGACCTTTCAATCGTAGCTTCTAGTCTGCTGGTCAATTTTTCTTGTGCCTGAATAAACTCGTCGTGATTACGACTAATTAATCGTGTCATATCCATGTTTGCACCGCTTGTCATTACTTTGACGAACTTTGCAATCATCTTTTCTCCTTCTTCAGGAACGGCCCGCGAACTTTCATCAGGAAGTTCAATAGCCAGTTCCTCTTCAATTTCGGCAGGATCTTGAATAGATTTGCCGTGTCTTTTTCCTCCCGCCATAGAAACACTCTGTTCAGAATGTCCCGCCGGGCGTGCCACTATGCTTGGCTTGAAAAAAGCGGGTGCCGGTTCCAATGGAACCGGCTGGGCGTGCCAGGAACTGCAGTAGTTCCAAAGAGAGATCTAAACAATATTCCAGAGGGAAGACTGCGGGACCAGGCGATTGTGTTGAGGTCTGGAATGAACACCTCAGGGTTCTTTTTGTCTTTGATAAAGGACTTCGGGAAAGTTAATTAGCTAGGAAGAATTGTAAAATTACTTGTGAAAGTAATTGACTAGAAAGTAAGATTATCTAAGGTAAAGTAAAGTGCAGGACTTGGACTAAACATAATGAAATTGCATTGTAGTGTAAAGT